CGGACGACGACGGACGAAAACGGATAGCAATAGGTCACCTGAGTTTACTCAGGTGACCTAAAAATGCAACGATATAGGGCAACGAGAAATTCAAATACATAGCATATTTTAGTTGCTTCCAAACATGTAAAATGTAAATGAAGGATATGGAAATAACGAACAGTATTCAATCTCAACGTCCATTAAACAATATACAAAATAAGAGAGCAGAGCAAACACGGACCTCCGAAACATCAGAGGTGGGATCAGGTGCCATGGAGGAGTTAGCATCCCCTACTGACCGTTCACACCCGCCGTGTGCTCGTTGTATAAGGAATGTTTTTTCAGTTTAGTGTGAATAAATTGGTGTGTGAATCACACAGACTTGCACGTAAGCATATTTTTACATGAAGCGCTAGCGCGCTTCATGAAATATGCCTACGTGCCAAGTCTGTGTGATTCACACACCAATAACTCACACAAAACTGAAAAACATTCCTTAATTGAACAGCCTCACGTATGCATGCTTTACGATTGCGCCAAGGGTACCTCTTTTCCTGCAAAGTACTTTTAGATGAACCTAATTGTACATTTATAGCTGTAAGCGGTTATTTAATATTGATTTGTTGCATATATTGCAGTCACAGCTATAGTTCACTTGGTATTCAAAAATAAAAGCTAAGTATTTTTTTTAATTCAATATTGCACTATATAACTTAATTTTTTAAGGAAAAATATAATGCAAGATATCGTTCATTTTTAACGTTCAAAGCAATAACAGTATCCAAACATTATCGCATGCACCTTAATTTACATTTTGATAAATCATATCCATTGCCAAATAATGAATGAATAAGGCAAATCGGTGCCAATTCTGAACTCTTAAATCCGTGAAACAGTATCTATCTTTATGAACTATCAGGTAACTTGAAATTTTAAATTCGGATGTCGACATATCATGGTAATTAGTAACAATTTTATTGGGTTTAAGAAATACTAATGTACTTTGAATAAAACGAGGTTGACTTGATAATTTACTGATAATGGTTTAACTTCATGCTTCGTTTTCTTGGGTTGTTTATTTTGTTTAACTTACTATTCATTTTTAATTATCATCTGAACAATATTTTAGAGGCATTATTATTTTTCTTTCAATCACTGCTACATTTGATTCATTTATACATTTTTTTTATATTCCTGAATGATACTTTTAATTTTTTCTTTATATTGATCTGTTTACCCAGAGATTTTATGTTCATTAATAGAGTATAATTTGCTTTTGTCTAGTTGATTGAAATGCTGATTTTCTGAAGCTGATATTAATCATGTTTTGAAAAATTAAATAGAAAAGGATTTTTTTTTATTCCTCTCTAATCTAACAGCTAATAAATTGATAAATGCATTTTTGTAAGGGGCTGATAGAACACTAAAACAACTATTGAATAAAGCAATATTTCCTTGCAGTTTTCATTAAACCTGTGAAAAATTTACTATGTGTAGTTTATTTGACATTTCACACATTTTGATGAGAAATACATAACAGCGATTAAATACATCTTACACATAAAAAAAAAATATTTATATGCACCTTGAACAAGGACCACAGATGCATCAAATATCCTTTGCGAACATAATTCTGTACAAAGGGTAAAGCATTCATTACATCTTTAAGAAACCTTGCCGGAACCAATATATCCATGTACGTGGAACGTCTTGTGTATTTTGATTTTACTCGCATTACTTTTTTATTCCTTAAATAAATTGATGCATATAAATCTGATGATATTTTTTATTCTTTTTTCTCTACATTTTACATTTATTTGTAGGGAAAGGGGGAGGGGAAGGGAGTAGTAAGGGTTGGGAAATGTGAAAGCCGATATGAGAATATTAAGTATATAAACACTTGTTTAAAAAAAATAAGAGTGGTTGTGGAGAAGAAAAAAATATCCCAATTCGTAATGGACGCGGATGGACAAACAGACGTGCAGACGGAATCCCTCTTCACTAAATACCACCTTTTTCAATTTAACAAATAAGTTGACAGTAAAAGAGAATGCCTATCAACAATACAATTAAATTTCAACATTACAAAAAAATGGATGGTCAATAAAATGATGTTGTTCAAATACAATTTATGATGACTGAGGTATTTATATGAATATCTCATATTAAATTGTGTACTGACTTTGTCGTTTCTTGAGAAAGACCTTACAGAGAGTGTGGCTGGTCGGTACGAACAGCTCACTTCTCAATGGCAACTGACCTTCTATTTTAAGAGGTCCGTGTTGCCTCTATTCATACTTGTACTATTTGACTAGTTTTGTTAAAATGATCACTGTTTTAATAATAACATTTCATTTATGACTCCTACATGTAAGTATCGATGATTTACGTCTTCCGGCTTAATAGATTGAACGAGCAAAAGATGATCACATAGTTTAACAATAAAAATATTGGAGATAATTTTGTAAAAATTAAAAAAAGAATTTTCGCTCGTTTTCCATAGATTCATTTGAAGGGGATTCTCCATTACTTCATCTTGTCAAACAAGTTTTGGAAATATGGGAAATTCGCTTTCTAATATGCATATAGAGTTCTAGCATTTTATTACACTTTAACGCACTGTTTTTGACCAAAAACATGTATACGAGGGCCGTTCAAAAATTACGCGGACTTGTTGCACAGTAGAAATATTTGACGACATAATCGGGCAAAATTTCACAAATAATATAAAAGAATCTTTACTTATATGGTCTTCAAAATTTCTTATCAAAATGTTGTAAATTGGTATTAATTTTGAGTGATTTTTCAGGACATACCATTAAGTCACGGCGCAGCAAAATCTTCGACGTCACAAGCATTATAAAAAATATGTGATTGAGCTTTCATTTTCTCAACATTTTCCCTTGAGTACCTGTATAGTTTGAGTTACCTTACCTACTGAACATCAAAACACCATTTCTTGTCAATCTTAAAATCTATTTAACAACTAAAAAATATTCTTTTTTTGTTATAAAACCAAAAACTACTTATGAGATATAGTGTGATATTGGTGACTCTCAATCACGTTCTTTACAGTCCGGATAAAGTTAACTTTTCTTCTATAATCTTCTTCCGTTCTCCCGTATAGCCTTTTTACAGAGGTCTAACTGGCTAAAATTTCAATTTGTTATTTGTGGGCGACTGTCACGAGTAGCCTAGTTTACTACATATTTTATTATGCATATTTTGGAACTATGTTGCCGATATCTCGAGCATTACACATATTTGAACAAAAGTGTGGTGCGCCGTCAATTCAGGAGACGTCATTTTCACAGTCGTTTTCAAGGGAATGCTTAAAATAAAAATCACTACATTTCTGTTAGTACTTCAAATATTACGTCCCAAATCTAAATACATAATAGTAGAACAATTTAAAGGTACATTTGAGAAAATTGTTGAAAAATATCGCGAATTTTAGAAATTCAATGAGTTAAATTTTTTAATCCGCATGCTTTTACTTCAACTTTTTTGTCGTGCGCCGTACTTCTACATCAACGATATCAACATACCGATAATTTAAGTAGAATTTTTTTTAAATACAGAAATTTTGCCCAAATTTTATTGGAATCTTTAAGAAACATTTTTCTGTGAAATTTTATGACTATATGACGTCTGTAAGAGTGAATGATAGCACAGTCCGCGTAATTTTTGAACGGCCCTCGTAGTGTAATAACTATAAAAAAGAAAAAAAAATAACCTTTTAACCTTTCCAGACAACACAAATGTGAATCTATTGAGTTAAGCGTACAACGACATGCACTGCAAAAGTGTATTCTTTGTGTTGTTATTGACAAGTTGTAAGGACAGACTAAAACAAACCGGACGTGAAAAAAACTAAAAAGTTGGATTCTAACAAGCTAGTCTAGTCTAAATTTATGAATGATTACAAGCAAGAAATGGCAATAAGTACTAGAAATAAACCTCATTGATAATTATACGAGGGGCATTTGAAAAGTCCTGAGAACTGTTTAATACAATTTTAACTATTTCACGGAAGTGAATGGTTTTAATACCATTGAAAAATGTTTTAAAATTTGTATTTATTTTGACCTCACTTTTGTATTTTTAGGACGTTATGAATTGACGTCAGAGTCGATCTCGAATGACTAACATACTGGAAATTCGTTTTCTTTTTTTTTTTTTTTTTTTTGGTTAAGATGAGAACAGCTGCAAGTTGATAACAAAAGCTTTTTGGAAAAAAAAAATTTCATGAAAATTTGTTTAGCGCTAGAATAACACTAAAAAAATGGTACTGTATACCAGCAATGAAATATGTCATTTTATGGTTTGTTAATAAGTACGGTTTATGTCCAATCGTGTTATCATATGCATTCATAACTATTTTTTATTTATATGATAGTGCTGGACTTGGTTTATTATAAAGCTCTATATAGCAAAATATATACGTATAACAACAACAACATACATATACAGTATAAATTTATTTAAGTGTCCACAAATGTATCTTGAGTAGCTATTTACGGATTGCATGTACAAAAGTCTTCCTTTGAACTTGTTTCTCTGCTTAATTTTTTTTAAAATTTTGTTTCAATTTTAGCGCTCCAAAACTCAGTCTGGTTTTTTTTTTTTTTTTTTTGCCTTTTTACTAAAAAATAAATCTGAGTGTTTCTTTGACATGTATAATCTTATTTGTTTTCCGTGATTTACATTTGCGATCGTATTGAGCTAAGCCGAAGTTTTCAACCCTTAATTTCTTTTTCTTATTACTTTTATTAAGTAAAAAAATCCGCGAAATATTGCTCAATGGAAACCTCAGATAGCCCTCTTAAATGATGTACAATTACGCTTTATATATATATGACATAATTGGTGACATACAGGTAAGATACAGCATCCTTTTTTACTTGCAATTGGCATCTGATTTACAAAATAGTTATTCTAGGCCATATGCTAATATTATGTTTTATAAGAAGAGCAATCTCGGTTAGTTAAAGTTCTGTTTATGAATATATTTTCAGGACAATTTTTCAAAATATCGACTAAGTTTGAAAATGGGGATCTAGTGTGCGAATGGCCCAATACCTCTTCATACGTTGATTATTTAACAATCACTACAGACAAAGGAGTTTTGTTTGAATATAAACCAATTACAACTGACCGATACAAAGTGGAAGGTGTTTTAAAGTATAGTCTTGTTGATATCTGGGTCCGAGAACACTATTCTTTAAATTTACAACAATTTGAAGACTACAGAAAGACATACAAAGGTAAGTGGGGGTTTTTTTCTTTTTAGAATTTTTAGAATGAAGGATAGGATTATACTGAAATTACAGGATAACAATGTAGATATAGGATTCCCGATAAGATAGGATACGATTTTCAACGTGTAGGATAGCAGTGTCTCAATTCATGAAATCCATCCATTCCTTTTTGGTAGACTGAAATTCCTCCAATTTTTATAAACAATCTTTCTTGTGCCTCCTCATAAGTCTACTTTATGAATTTTGGAGCAGGTTCTTCATTGAATGTTGAGCAAATGTACATTGTTTTATTTAAATATGGTCCAGAAATTTAATTGTAATTAGTAGTTTTGAAGTACCGGTAAGAGATTCTGCCTGAAGTTTTATTGACATACCCTTAGAGCTATTAAATATGGATGGACACAGATTTGAAGTTAATATTTTCTGCATTATATCACGACTTAAATATTTTTATTGCATGCATTTCACACAAAAATATATTAAAAATTTTATTTCATCTTAAAGTTATTGAAACTGCAAGGATGTTAATCAAACCCACCCAAAAATTTGAAGTGTCACAAATTTAACTTTTTTTCTTAATACCTAGTAAAAATGACAATCTTGTTGTGTATCAATGAAAAATATAATGACTTTAATTCAGAAAAATAATTATATTCAGAGTAGAAATGTAAGAAAGCAAACCCATTTACAAGTATCATCATTCCGCGCTAAGTGTTGTGTTCAGAGTTTAGCAAATTGACCACACCCGTGAAACGTACACAGTTTTTGTAAACAGGGCACGACCTCTGTTAATGTTGATGTTTAAGATTCACCGGGTGCGCTCAATTGTTAAAGTCTGCTCACCACAACTACATGGACTGACAATATACTGTGTGATTTTCGAACATTTCCACTCTAAATTTTCTGGATTAAAGTTTTAATATTTTTCATTTATACACTACAAGATTGCCACTTTTCGAACGTATTAACAATAAAATTAAAATTTGTGTGAGTGCAAACCCATTTAAAAAATTTAACTTTTAATATTTTTGAAATGAAATTTTAGTATATTTTTGTTTGAAATGCTATTAAAATATATCAGTCGCATTATTATACACAAAATACCAACTTCAAATCTGTGTCCATGCAATTTTGAAATACACCAAAAAAAAAAAGAAATATAATGCCTTTTTTTCAAAACATGGACTCTGATTTTGTAAAGAGAAGTTTGTTTATGATGAATAAAAGAAAGAGGGCCTCTTTATAAAAACAGACACCCACAATATCTTTTTCTTAAATATAACCTTCCTTACAGCACTTATTTTTAAATGCTGGACGATAAAGAAACCATATCAAATGTATAATACATAAAGTATACTCATGCACTTCACAGCAGAGAAAGACTGGTAAATTGTTTTATTTCTACATATTGCTTTAAGGACGTTCGATCCTGATATTTTGAGCGTATTTCGCGCAGGTCCTTTATTCATAAAATTAAGCATCATTTTTAGGTTCTAACAATAAAACTGAATTCTACAATGCAAATTAAACTAAATTTAATGAAAAAACCGCGATTAAATTCCATACAAGTAGAATTAAGCTAGGGACTATATTTTGTGGCGGAAGGTTTTTTAGACGAAAATGAACAGTTTTTTCCATTTGAACTATAACAGTACTGTTAATTTTGGATGCCTATTTTTCCATGCTGGTTGCATACAAAGCTGTTTTTTGCAGTGAAATATGCTATGCTGGTTCTGAAATATCTATTAAATTATTTCTTATGAATTCTATCAACAAAGTGTGACAAATATAGTAAATATATTCTGAAAATCCAGGAAAAAATTGTGCCAACTTTAACGTAAAATTCACACTTTTTAAGTAATATCTGAAAATGTACATCACATACCCCCACTTTTGATGTTCTTTTCTAAATATTCAAGATAACTTTGACCTATTTGCTTAAAATCAGAAAAAGTTTAAGACTTTAAAATAATTTTTTTGCTCATTATATTTTCAATGCCGGAAAAATAACATTTTATTAGTGCAGAAAGGTCAAATAATTGATTATGCGAAGCAATTTGAAACTTTTTCTTAGTCACAATTTTTAAGTGTCTTTTTTTAAACAGACTGAGAGTTCATTTTGTTTCATGCTTTAATTGGATAAAAATATTGAAAGGAAAACGTCGAAGATGTAATTTTTAAATAAGACACAAATTTCAGTGGAGAAAGGTCATATTAAATGTACTGTAGCGCTAAAAGAAGCATATTAACCCCCATTTTTTGATTTGAATTTCAATTAAGCTATGTATGTAGAAACTAAAAATATACTTGGCAAAAAAAGTTTAAGACTTTAAATATCAGGATCGAACGTCGTTAACTGATTTTTATATAAATTACATTCTAAAAATATATAAAATCATCAAAATAAGCTGAAAAGAGCACATACAGTGATAAAATTCCGTTATCCCAAATGAAGTACAGTTGTGCAACTCCTCATGTGTTGTGTTTTTCTCGTTGACCCCCCCCCCCCGCCTACCTACTACACTACTACACACTACGCACGAATTTCTGTCTGTATAGAAAATATCTTGATATAAAAATATATAAAGTATACTTAAGTTTTGATTGTTACCTTTACAAAGTCTACTTTTGCTTTTGCTGTTTTTAACTCTCAGAAGCCCTTTGCAAGTAGTAGATTGTGTAAATCAGGTATATTTGGACCACTCGATCGCCGTGAATATAAGAACTGTCAAAAAGTTTTGAAGTGTTCGAGAATACTAGACGTATATGCTATAGCTGGACCAATGGCCAAGACAAAAAAAATATTGCTTTTTTATCTATTATTATTTTCCGTGGGATATGTAATCTATTTTTTTTTCGCAACAGTACAAAGTTTACTTGTAACAGTGAAAGTTGTTTATAAAAAAAAATAGGGAGGGGGGGGATTCAGCAGTATAGTAGAAAAATGCATCCATATATTTACAATCAAGAAGGATATGGAGATAACGAACAGTATTCAATCTCAACGTCCATTAAACAATATACAAAATAAGAGCAGAGCAAACACGGACCTCCGAAACATCAGAGGTGGGATCAGGTGCCAAGGAGGAGTGAGCATCTCCTGCCAACCATCAAATATCAAATAATGTAAATCCTTACAATTAGCACATAATTACTTTTCATCATAAAAATAGATGATTTTTTCAAAGTATATCACAGATTTTTTGCCAGTGCCTTTCATATGCCATATATGAATTGAACATATTTTATTGCAATATATATATACAATGGGATTGGGCACAAATTCTTAAAACTTATTTCGCCCTCTCCCTACATGAAGAGTTTATTCCATATATCTACAACTTTGTAATAACAAAACCTTTTCTATAAAAATCCTGTCTATAATCCTCTTTATTTTTTATTTACTAGCAAAAATAGATTTTTTTTACAATATTAAGTATTATCAAGTTTTCTAATTTACATATATTCCTGTTCTCATATTGGCGTCATGACATTGGAGAAAAAAGTAAATTTTTCAATAGAAATTAAAAATAATGAAATCTTGATAAACTGTGTTTATATTAATACGTTGATACATTGAATACGCCCCTTGACATGCAATTTTTGGGCTTCTTGATATATACATCTAGTATAATAAACGTTTTTGCATACTTCATAAGGGAAAAAAGAAAACAAAATTAGTAAAATTCATGTAATACTATTTTATTATTATTTTTTAACACAAAAAAATGATTGATTTCATTGATATTTGCATTTCCAATGTCTTCGTCCGAGATAAAATTACAAATTGTAAATGTACTTTATTTCTCCATCAATGTTTCGGCGCGGTTCCAAAAAAACAAAAACCACGTGCAGGGCGGAACAAACAGCAAGACAGTTGCAGGGCTTGGAGCACGTGGATTGGCAGAATCAAAGCATGTAAATATAAGGAATAACAGTCTTATTTTTCGTTTTCATGACGATAATCAATCGATTGGCTTGCGTGATAATTTTATGCATAAACGCCGAACAAATTATCACATAACACAATCAATTGATCACATCATGAAATCGAAAAATAAGACAGTTATTCCTTAATTCAATCATATTTTCTCTACATCTACGAGTGTTGTCCGTAAAATTCGTGGACAAGCTAAAAATTTAATAAAAGTTGTGTCATTGATTTATATTATTGACATATTTCTAATTCTTTAACTAAATGTGAATTGAAAAATGTGAAAATTTATTCAATTTCAAATGTTTAATTACTATGATGGGTTCATAATCAGACTTGGAATGGAGACCCGGAGCACCGCAAAATTTTAATTAAAAAATGTTTATTAAGTAATTATTGAGTTAAACGCTGACTATGTTGATAAAAGTTACATGTGCTCGTATTTAGCTTTTGACTTTGGGTAACGTCAAGAATTTTCGTTTTAGTTCTCCGGGTATGAGAGTGTGTCTTTTTGGTTTCTGATAAAATTATAACCATTTGTGCTTTGTTTCTGTTGAAATCTTGCATATTTATAAAATAATACATAAATTTAATGAAAATATTATAGTTTCATATATTTAACAATGTTAGACAGTAATTATCAATGTTGTCCACGAACTTTACGGACAGCCCTCGTATATGTATATTGTATTTGAAAAGTAAAAATCTAAAGAAAATTTCAATTGACTTTTTCCTGCACTCAGAAATCTGCCTAATCCGAACAACTTTTATGAAACCAGCAGTATTCATTTTTGCCAATTATACTGTATATTGTAGGCCTAAAAACTGGAGGGCTGTATCTCAGAAAATAGAAATGGTTCCATCGCCTTTTTTTTTCAAAGTATTGGTAACCATTTTGCAGAGTTTGTTCATGTGTAAAGACATATTGCATACATATATTTGGAATGATCTCAATCTACATATTTAGAAATATACATCAGAAGGTGTTGGTTTTTATGTTCGAAATGTAATATGTGGAGAATTCAAACTATGTTATTAATATTGTAATTTTACATGTCAAACAGTACATTTTTCACTGCCTAGAACAGTTTTTGAAAAGCCTAATTTAAATTGGTTGATTTTATATTTTAAAAATGTATTATAAGGTTGAAGAGTACAAATCTTTTAAAGATCTAACAGCAGAAAATTCGAAGTCTGCATGGTCACATTGAAAAATTATGTTGAAAATGTAATCCTCTGAAAAAAGAAACATGTTTAGAACAAATACACCTTTTTTACCTTATAAAGTGTAAAATTTGCAAAAATTGATAAGAGTGAAGTTCTAAAGTGGATAGGTGTGAACATTATTCTGTCTAGTATTTGATAAATGTATTAACATGCGATTGTATTTAAAGAACGGAATTAAAGCATTTAAAAAAAATTTTGTCACTGAGGAACTCTAGAATCTATAACAATATACATCGGATTACTTATATTTACAATCAGAATGTTTTCAACAAACAGGCTTTGCTGTTAACCAATCAATGGTTGTGCACATTTTCGAGTTTTCTGTGCATTTTCTGTCAATATGTACATCTTTTATTGAAAAGATTTATTTCTTGCTTTAGTTAAATGTAATTAGTCAGGAATGAAGGTGATTTTTTACCTCTGTATATTTGAATTGTTGATGTCTTTATCTAGAATAAAAAATGGATAATTATGAGAGATCGTTTTGAATAAAGATTACGCTGCCTCTTAATCTACAAGTATATAGGAAGTAGTAAAATTATAATGTACATGCAAGTATTATATGTTTATATATATACTTTTTTGTAGTCAATAAAGTACAATCTACGGAAGGAGAATCAAAAAACATCTCATGGACTGCTGAGTATTTTCCGAATAGTGGAGATTACAACATATTTCATGCATATATTGGTCAACCGCTGAAGATAATAAAAGTTACTGGAACAAATTATGAAATATATGGTGAAAACTTATTATACCATTCCCAACCCGGTTCTTCCAATGTTTTATTTGAAGTGAGAAATATATCAGTAAAAGATGCTGGATATTACGTGGGAAGTGAAACAAAGACTTTCTCATCAGGAAGTGGAGCTGTACTCATAGTTTCTGGTAAATCCATAAATCATGATAATCTCAAAAATGTGATGGCATGATTCTTTATATGAGTTCACGTTTAACAACTGAAAGAAAGAATTTAATGAGAAAATGCGGGAAAAATTGAAGTAAATTAAACTTAAGTTATGACAAAAAAAAATCCACGAGTTGATTGCAAGTCAATATTTGTAAACAGTCAGAATTTACCACTTATTTTCTTAAATATTAACATTTAAATAATTTATTCAGGAAAACCAGAGAAACCAAAAATAACGGGAGACCTGGAAATCAAAGACGGAAGAAATGCCACCTTGAAATGTGAAAGTAAATCTACATCTACCCCCGACTATCACAAGTTTTCACCATTATCGTATAACTGGTTTGTTAATGGCACCAAAATAGACGGAGAACAAAGTGCAAACTACACATTCAAGGTCTCAAAGGATGACAGATACAAAGGGTACAGTTGCCAGGCGAACGAAACTTTGGAATCAGAAAGAAGTGACGAAATTACAATAAACATTTTGTGTGAGTATATTGCTAAATCTTCTTCCGTACTTTTACGCATAATGTAAAACGTCAGATAATTAGATTAAAGTACAATGGAAAGGGTTTATATGAATAATATTTTAAGGTAAACATATGGATTTTAATTTACTTGTTACATGTAAGAGCCCAGTCGGATCTTACAGGATATAACGATAACTGATGAGTAATTCTTTTCTATCAGTGGTTGTCTCTGTTGGCAAAGGTTTCTCATCTTGAATTGTTCAATCTCCGGGGATGACCCTTTTAATTTGTTTTTTTTCCGGCTGAGATGCAATTTTCATATTCAAAATGTTTGATAATCAAGCCAAACTGAAGTGTCTGAATCAAGTTTGATAGGCCCTTTGAAGGTCATATATGAAAGATATATATATGGTTTTGTACTCATGCAACCCCCCCCCCCTTCTTCTGTACTTGGCCGTATCGCTCACATTTATGACTTGAAATTGAATCAAAACTAACAAATTAGCCCCTTCACAATCAATGCGATTCTACCTTTTTGCAGGGCAAATAAATAACGTTTGGCGAATGTTTTGTTAACAGATGATTATATGACCGTATACAAGACAATTGGTTTACATCATTTGGTACGGAGACACAATATTCTTAACGTTGACAATTGTTTGTGCGGTGTGCGTTTTGTATATTTTGTTCAAACATTAATCGCAAGGTACTTCTAAAGTGGAAGGACACAACATTCATCAGGTTAGTACTTAGTATATTTTAGGCATTAGTATACGTTTTAACTATCCGATAAGCACTATATCCGGTAAGGAAAGTAGCGATAAGTGGCTTGAAACCTAGCGCTTTCTTGAAATGAACGTAGTATCACCTGATTAGGAACGCAGCAATAAACAGTAAGCTAAGCACTATATCTAGTAAGGAATGTAGCAATATACGGTAAAGAACGTAGCACTACATCTTGTGAGGAACAGTCGAATTAAAACTAAATCAGTTATCTCAAATAAGCAAAGTTTTCAAATAATGACTATAAATTGCATAACAAAAAGGCATATTTTTGTTGAGAAATACGTGAACAAAATATATCTTTTTCAGGCAAACTGACAAAATATATCTTTTTCAGGCAGACCTACATTCCTCCACAAAATGCATCATAACTTCAATGATGTGTGCAAACGAATTGAGTAACGCGCGTTATGAGACTGCTTCTTTCAGAAAATGATAAATCAATGCTTATACATGTACTCACAATTTTCTCTCCTGTATTTTCTGAAATTTTTATTTATCTATTTAAAATTTCTGCCTTATCTTTCATGTAAGTTGCAATTGATAGAACAGTCTTTGGAACAGTTTAATCCGGAAACGAAAATAGTGTACAATTATAACAGAAAATAATAACCAAAGTTTATTTTTTTTCAATCTAAAATGATAAAATACATTTTTGCAACAAAAAATACAAATAAATCGTTTAACAGACATAATTTTTTCGCCTTGATTAAACAGAAACGGCGTAGTCCCTGTATTCATACACCAGACAGACTTTGGTGATTAGGTCTTGTGTGTTATGTATATTTATCACTTGTATTTTTATATTGCTTTTTATTAGGGCCAAACAAAGTAAATATAAATATATGTAAATGGTGCAAAAAGTCCTTTCAAATGCTCAACTTTTAATATTTATTGCAAATTTTCTGCGTATTTCGTAAACATTTGAGATAAGATAAGAAGACAGATCATGATGCTGTGATTTTATTAACCATTATTTTCCATATGTATTTTTGGCAATACTTAATGAAAGAATGAGTGCACTTAAGTACGTCATTTGGAACCTTTTTGGCTACCCATTTAAGCTTAACATTACAATATATCGCTAAATTAATCTATGATTAATGTGCAAGCATATGCTTTTGATATTTGTTTCTAGAATTTTTTGTCATACATATTTCTATAATTACAGAAAATGTAATTGAAAAGAATATGTAAAAGCCTTAAATTCCGGAAATTTGAACGGGACCACTTTCGAATCTAAGGTATCCGCAAATAGGCGGAGACATTTAAACCGCATGGTTGTGGAATGTAAACATTAGCACATATGATTTTTACGCAGTGCGAATTGAAATGGAGAAGAGAGAGAGATCGTGTTGATTTCATGGTGCACAATTATTAAATGATTCTAATGTTAAGGGATGGGGTAAATGTCTCGCTGTGCAGACTATAATACTGAGGCGACATAAGCCTATACATCTACTTACTAATGACACTGTCAATACCAGAATTCTTTCAAAACACCCCTAATGAAAAGCATAAAGATAAATAAGAGACATATTATCCTCAAACCCTATTAAAATTTGTGCAAAAATCTCCCATAGTTTGAAGTTGGAAGTACGATAGATAATGTCACAACAGAGACTTAAACACAGTGAAATTTCCAATGAAAGCGTTAGCGTATCGAACAGCAGAAGGTCACGTGAGAAAGGTGATTATAATATCAATCGTTGTTGCTCAGTGACCGGTTAATTTAGTAGCTATTTCGACCCTAGTTTGGGGACATTTTTTTGAAAATTAGATATGAGCCGCAACTTGGCCAACATTGTCCTTTGGATATGTATAAGTTTAAGTTAAAATACATATTCTGTGCAAATAAGAAAAATGGCCAAGTTGCGGCTCGATGTAAACAAAGTCGTTGAAAACTGGAATGCATATGAATAACAATAGAAATGAGACAAAACTGTTAGACCCCCGTCTCAAAAGCTAGTGTCGTTCGGCATTATTTAATACTTTCATGTAATATAATTACCAAAACCTGCTCTTATGACATTGTTTAATACCTATAAAACATAATGAATTTTGGAATTTTATTTTGCGCAAAACATCGGGATCCAACTCTCATAGCTTAAGTGCACTCATTCTTTAATTACAATTTCTTATTTTCCCTCCTCTTATTCTTGTATGGGCTAGCTTGTGCTGTACGCTATTATATATTGCTGTACCAAATGATAAAATAATGCACTGTTCACGATCAGCAAATATTTTCGGAAATGCAGCGTTTGTATATTAATTAGTATACGCATTCCTATTTTCACAGATGGTCCAGAAAGTGTCAGTATAACCCCAAAACCTCTTCGCAATACAATAACAATTAAAGATGGCGATCTACTTGGTCCGTACAACTGCTCAGCTGACTGTAATCCGCCTTGTACCGTACAGTGGAAATATAAACTTCCGGAAGGAGATTTAAAAAATGTTACACACTATGGGATTTCACCATTACCTTTACCAAATCTAAAAGCAGACAGAACTAGGATGACTCTGATTCGATGTGTAGCTAAAAACAGTGAAGGGCGTGAGATTGATGGCATCAAGTTAAACATTCTTTGTGAGTGTATTCTAATATGTTAAGGGTACAATTGTTAAGGTGAGTGCAAATACTTATTCAGTGATAAAAATAATATCCGCCTCTTTAAACTGCAAACTATTGGAATGTTAAGAGCCAGTTGTATTATCGAAAAGTTTATACCGTATTTAACAAAAAGTTCAGTCTACTATTCATCTACAATATCCATGGAATCAAGGTGAGTAAATTATTTTTTTTAAAACCTCACTGTTACCGAGACAAAGAATTTTGCAGATAAACACAATTCGCAAGAATCGCAAGAATTGTTGGATAAGACGATAATGCGAAAAAAAAATTTTTTTTGAGTAAATGTGCAAAGTCAGAATTTTAAATTGATTCAGGGATATCCTTAGAAATCATAGTTTCTTTTTTCTATTCTGAAATCAGAGATTCACGAATGGGGGATTGTAGAATGAAAGAGTTATTTCTTTAATTTGTTTTAAAGTTTTTTAATTCAATTCACCGTGATATTATAGATTTTAAATTGACAATTTCAAAAATACGATCAAAATAAACCAATTCACATTTTACGAGACTTGTCTGGTAAAATTGTGGTTAAGTTGTCTATTGTGAAAAAGTAATCAACATTCTGAAATTTTCACTACTCCTTGGTTAACATATAATGAATACACATGGGAAATTTCAAATAGATATATGCATTAATAAAAAAATAGTTTTATGTTATGAATTGTATCGACCTACGGTGCACGGATGATAACGTCAAAGTGCCATGTTTCATCTTTGCTAAAAATAAAATTAGATAGGTCCCACTAACATAAAGATGTCCCATCGATTCAAAGACTTGAGTCTTCATACAGCTGAAGAACCATGCGATCTTTTGAAGATTTATTAGTAAATTACGGACAATATGCTCACCATCAGTCAACTAACAGAGCATCTTATATCGATGGTCGACAGTGATAACGTCTTTTGTTATTACCATGGCAGATTGTTCGTATGTTTTGTACTACCAGGGAACTCGATCAAAAAGACTTCGCTAAGAAAACTCCCATTTCATTTGTATACGGAAGATCTGGTAATATTTTCATATATTTCTTTTCTTCTGTATTCATATAAGTCTTTTAACGTGTCATTACAACATCTGAATCAAACGTAACCGCTCTCCGGTGCGCCGAAACGTCATCACACGACGCCATTTTTCGTGCGTTGTGTTTACCATTTTTACATTTCGATTGCTCGGCAAACTGCCAAAAATTAACCGAATCCTTGACATTTTTAAAAAGACAACAAAATTGGTTGTGGAATCGAAATAGAATGATTTCAATCCCACCCAAATAATGTATTTTAAACCTTTATTTCGAATTAAATCTTGTGTATTCTCTAATATAGCCTTGGTTTTTTTTTTACCGTGCGCGGTAGGGACTTGTGCATATTCAAGTATAATAAAATCTTTATTTTGTCTATATGTTATCAAAAATATTATAATGTATTTAAATATGATAAACAAACATTTGTCGAGAATTTCAGCTAAGTGTGCCCCTTACTTTTCGAGAAAAACGCTTTGTCCACAACATGAAAACATTGCTGTGACGTCATGCCTTTGTTCTTGCAGTCTAAAAATTTACCTGTAGCCGTCCGATAATAATAATTACCAGTCTGATAATATATTATCGGACGGCAATGATAACAAAATCAGACGGTATTCAAAAAACAAAAAGAAGAGTAAAATAAAGGTTAAAAATGTCCAAAACCAAAAAAAAATGTTAGGAAACAAATTCAGGGACAGCAATCGCAAAGAAATCAAGTTGCTATACAAAATAGCAAATCCATGAAGAAATCGAAATCGAGTTTAAACCTTCCTCCAAATTAATACTTCCCACCTTTTAAAATTGTTTTTGATACAGCACTTTGAATAAGTGAATTTAATCCATTTCTGAGAAAGAATTAGCAAATCTATAAATTTTATAAGGATTGTTTCCAGGTGGCTGCACTTTTAAAACCTGAGAATTTCCATCATATAAACTAAAACTCCAGGATGAAAATCCCCATTTTTACTTTCCATGGTGATGGTAAAAATATCACCAAAAATGAAACCTGTACCAATTTCAATTTATGCACTAAATAAATAAAAATGTTCCAAATTTAAAAGGAAACATTCACCACCGCTGACCCTGTCCTGCTTAGCTAAACGACTGTCATTGAATGAATGAAATGAAACAAGAGTTCACTCACTGTTTTTACTGTCTCATTTCTACTTATTAGGAGGGTAAAAAAATGATGCTTGTGTTATTATCGGACTCCTCCAGGTAACTTTTGGACAGTTTAAATGGCAATGTTTTAAGTAAGATATATGCCTCATACTATTCTATATGTAAAATTATCAGACAGTTTTCGGCCCTAACAGGCCTCAAACAGTCCGATAATTTTACATATAGAACAGTATTCGGCATATATCCATTACTTACCGTGCAACCCTCGTATTCAAAGTTTGTTAGATCTGTCTCAAATATATAAAAGCGTAGGACTAAAACCCCGAAAAATAAGCGTCCAAAATATTAATCCCAAGAGTTGTCCAAAAGGAAGGGGTAAAGAAAAAAAGTGACTCTAAAGAAAGAGTTAAGAATACAATGCCGTATTCCGGCAAAAAAGGGTATTTTTCCTAAACCGTTGGTCAAATAATGTCATTGACGCGGTTCAAAGAACTCAGATTTGTGCAATTAAGGAAAAATAGTTAAGTCTTGATTCAGTGTCTAGATTTATTGGAAAATTTATCAAAGACCACATAAATCAGTTGAGCAGAAGAGAATGTAGCTAACTAATGAAGATTTGAACTAATGAAAGGTCAGTAGAGAAATATTGGTAATTAAATGCCTAAATTAACTAAAATGATTTTATTCTACATTATATATATTCTTATAAATAAGGACGTCGACGCTCAGGATGGATTCTAAACTGAAGAATCGCAAATAAAAGATGTTGCGAATAATAATTAGTTTTAGTAATTATTTTGATGACTTCTTTCAAAAAATTATTATTTTGGGATATTCATAAATAAAACAAGATGTGTTTGTGAAACACTATGCGTCCTGCGGCAACAATGTTAGAAAAAGCTAATTTTTGTCATATGGGTCACAGTCAAGATGAGAAGGTGACTTTAATTTGTTGTCATTTGAAAGAACTTAATTTGTGTAGTATGCATACCAAATGTTAAGTCTCTATCTTTCATGGTTCAAAAGTTTTTGGGAAGGTTTAAGTTGACAACAGATAAGCAAACAGACAGGGCAAAAACAATATATCGGATCTATCGAAAATCTCAGCCATAAAATTATTTTTACTTCACTTCTAATCATTAAAGTACCATATTTTAATTATGGATGAATCTATGAAAGTTTTTACTGCAAAAATCTAAACTTTTATTTTTATTAATTTATGTTCATTAGTAAGTTATGTTTATACAATTTACAACTATATTTCTCTAACTAAAGTTAAGATTTCTGCAATTAAACTTTCAAAGATTCATTTCCGTTTTTTTTCTTTCATTTAAAAATGAAAATTGTACATATAAAGATAAGTCATCGTCAACCCCCCCCCCCCCCAAATCTTTCAACAAAGATCTAAAAAGAAAATATAAAACACTTGAAATTCCACAGATGGTATAGTGTTTAAACCGTATATATGTTTAAAAAATGATATTTTCAGTTGATTGGAAAAAGATGATTATTTTTTAGTGTGATTCATATAATTTTATTTAATTACAATAACATTGTCAGAAAATGCAATTTGTCATTGCGTCAATTGCTGACTGACGTTTTTCATACTCATTGTTAGTCTATTTTTTAAACATTGAATTTACGACAAATTTTTCCGTTGTTTCCTGATAATGACAACGAGCACACGGCGGTTGTGACCGGTCAGAAGGGGATGCTCACTCCTCCATGGCACCTGATCCCACCTCTGATGTTTTGGAGGTCCATGTTTGCTTTGCACCTGTTTTGTATTATTTTATGGACATTTGATTTTTAAAATCATTTGTTATCTCCATATGTTTCATTTACATTCGTTTTTTTGTTATAAAATCCATTGGAAATCTACCTCGTTTGCATCCCTATAACACAAACTAAACCTTAATGTCACTTAGGATGTAAATACATCATAGAAATCATATTCATTTTCTTTATTTTAGCTCAATTCAAATAAACAACAAGTACAATGTACCCTATTAAATTATTGTTAACACACGATTTATATGTTTACAGATATTTTTCTTTTCAGGCAAATAATTCACAACTGAAATTAATGAAATTATAAATTATCAGAAAGAAAATTTGACAAAACTAAGCATTGAATCTCTTTCTTGGATGTACCCGGTAGCTGTGGCCCTACTACAGAACAAGGTCGTTCCCATAAATTATCATACCATTCAATTTGTCGACACGGCTGGCGTCAAACGACGTCCCAGAAATGTAATGTTTAATTGAAATAAAACTATTTTATGAAGGTGATCCATATATGGTATAAACTAAAAAAAAAACAATTATACAAGCAACATTTTTTTGAACAAGTCGACCTTTTATCGAAAGCTTTTTATCACTTTGCAGAATACTATTTTATTGCAGATTTATCGAAACCGGTGATCTTTCTTAATAATAGTAACCAGACTCTGTCAAGCATCAAAGAAGGCCATACTCTCAATATTTCGTGTTTTGTGGAAGGCAATCCCACCCCTTCAATCAAGCTCAGCAGAGTCTTGAAAGGGCATATCAATGAACAACAAGAAAAGTACTGGCTGAAGTACACTATAGCACAAGCTCAATGTTCTGACACCGGCACCTACAGATGTACAGGAAACACATCATTTGACAGTAAACATGAGGAAGTGACTGTAAATGTGACGTGTAAGTATGAGAGATTATTTTGAAGCATATTTATTTTCAGGTATATCACATGTCAGCTTATTAGAAAAGTTCAAGCAGAACCTCTTACTTCAAAACTATTCATTTTAATTCAAATTTCATAATATATTAAAAGTCAACAGTGTGAATTATTCAACATTCAATGAAAAAACTGCTCAAAAATCTACAAATTTTTACTTGGAGAGTAGTATACTGTATGATATACTACGAATATTTAATAAAGTTTTTAAACTTTTAAATTTTTTAAAATAAATTTTACACCTTCCCTCAACAAACTTTGACGATAAATGAAGATATGACAAAGAAGTCAATATTAAATGTACTCCATTTATTTTATTGCTTATTTAGATTTTTGATACCCTAAATACATGTATGTTACTTTTTAGTGCAAAAAGGTTAAACAATAAAGGACGCGCATTAATTTGCAAAATTTATTCAATGATGAATGTTATTCAAACTATTTTACTTAAAATAAGATTATATTTTTTGAAAATGTTACATTCGATAAAATATGATTAAGGTTAAAGTAATTAACCAAAGAGTTAAAATTTAAGTACAAAAAGGTCAACTTAACTGTACCGTGCACACTGACCCCTATTTTCGCTGCCATTTTTTGTCATACTATATGAGTACTAAAGAATACTTCTCAACAAGTCCTTGATTTAACATATTTCAAGAGTGACATACCTTAAGTTAGTTAATTAAAAAAACAACAACAACAGCTGAAAAGTAACACAAGAGAAATATGCTTAGATTTTCTCGTAATGTAAGATTTTCGTTGTGCTATTTATTTTCATGTGCTCATCATTACTGCACAGAATCGAATACGGTAGACGTATTATATTTGGCTCTGTATTCTTGAAAGAGCTTTTGTAGGAATCAGATTCTGCAAATTTAAGTACAACACAAAGTGTATTTGCACACAAACGCATAAATAAGAACACTAGATTACAACGTTTAATCAAATATATACTACATTGTCCTCAAAATATTTTACACGCTCATGATAATACATTTCCAGCACCTAGTTTTTTATGTTCTAATCTCTTATTCCTTCCCCCGTCTGAATAAATATAAAGTATGTAGATAATGAATGATAAATTTCAGGTAAAAACTACATTAGAACAAAATTAACAATAAGAAGAACATATTCAATCTCTTAAAATTGCAAGTAGGGCCTGCAGGTGTCAATGAAAAGAGAACATTTCCTGTTGAACGTTCACACAACCCTTGTGCTCCTTGTTTATGATCGACCAAAATAAAAACTCCAAAAGACAATTTAATGTTAAACTTTTTAATATGACATTTGTATGAAAACGTCAGTAAATTATCAACTTAACAAAATACTGTATTTGATTTTAAAAAGTCGTTGTATCGACCATAGAGTCTGCAAAATTTTTACTTTACTTTTTGAATTGTTGACAACCTTGTATCATTGATTTGTTTGTGAATAGCTTGGTTAAATGCATGCTTTTGTGAATCGACTAGGTGTGGAACTGAATGGAAATATCCTTTTCAATTGATCGTGATAATTTAATGTCCAGAATTTTAAAATTGGACTTAAGGCTGCAAAAGTGGATAAAAGTAGTTAAAAATTACATTCTTTCAGAATTGGTGCGGCCCAGCAAAAAGTTGTAAATTACTTATAAGATTCAGACCTCAGCTTCTTTGAAAACTAAGGAGACATAAACTCCAACTACTAAATATTAATATGTGAACATGCATATTCATCAATAGATACATCAATATTGTGTACTATTACTTATTATTAACCTATTCCATATACGTCAATTGCGTTGTATTCAAATATGAAATCGTAGCATTATAAATTATTTTAGGTGAACCTCGTCTTGATATGTCTCTCAGTGTGCCTTTCAAGAAGACGTATGGGTCAAAGAGTGGACAAAATGTCAAAGTTGTTGTGACAGTGCCTGTGCTTGCGAATCCTTTTCCATCCTCAGTTTATTCAAGAATATCGTGGCAGGGACCTAGAGGCAATTATTTGAATATAAGTAACACAGTAATTCAAAGAGATAATGTTGTCTACAAATACTGGATCAACAGTACCATTCCTGTTCCTAATCCAGAATCTTTTGGAAATTACTCATTGATTTACGACAAAAACTCCATCGTCAATGTAACAATCAAAGCCGAAGGTATATATATTTTTCATAAATTTATACAAAGTTTCTGAAGGTATGCTTTCCTGCTTTACATCCCTTTGTGTATCATAGATTCTGAAGCTTTCAATCTTCTTTTAACTTACAGTGCTTCCCCGTTATAATTCTCCCCATTATAACGCCACCCCCGCCTACTGCCAAAAAAAAGTCAAGTCCCGATTTCCTCGCTATATAAAACCCCGTTTTACCACCATCCCCCGCCTATCGCCATCCTCCAACGTATTTCAGGTACAAATCTGTCCATTACCGTTATAATCAACCCCGATAATTAGCGCCAATTATATCTTCAGGGAGAGAATTTCAATGAAAAGTCTAAAGCAATTATCCGCCATCAATCTTCCAGGTATCAAAGTTTGGAGTAGATGATAAGTTAGATACATAATTATTTGAGTTAAAATCTTTTTGAAGTCTGAATATGGCTAACTCGCCAAATTCAAGGCGCGTTATCTTGGAATTGAAACAAAAACTGGAAATCATTAAATATAACGAAAAAAATCTTAAGCAAGAAATTTCTAATTATTTTATAGAACTATGAAAAATTGATGTAAAAAGACGGACTGTATGTGATATTCTTCAGCTCCGCGTGTTCCTACATACGTAGAGGCCAGACAGGGACTTGAATGTTTGTTACGGCATTTAGAATCAAAAGAATCAACAACTGAATCTGAAATAAACTTTTTACTGCAATTAGCCATTAAAATAAAACCATCAGAACAATCAACAATTGATATGTTTTTCAAAAAACAGTGATTTTCTGACAGGCATACGTAAGCTTTAAAATTTATATTTGTTTATTTGATATAAAGGCATTAAAATCTAGAAATATATGTAGTATATTGATAATAAATTTGTTTCATTTATTTGTGCACGTCACTTCTCTCTCCCCGATATAACGCCACCCCTGCTATAATGCCAAAATAACCAAGGTACAAATGTTGGCGTTATAACGGGGGATCACTGTAATTACAAATTCGTAAATTAAAGTTATATAATAGTAATGTGTTTTGCGTGCACTATGTCTAAATAGTAGTCAGGGTTTGGCACATGGTGCACGAGTCGGATTATTTACTTATTTTCTTCTCAACTTAATGTATGCTTTACTTTATTACTAAGTATGTAATAAACTTATCAATACATACCTTTTCCATATCACAGGATGTGATATGGAAAAGGATATGTATTATTCTCTATTGAACACTATGCGAGAATAGTATGGGTTATATAGAGACAAACTGATAGGAAGCATAATAATAATCTATACAAGTTTGGCTTTCCAGAAAGCCTGAACTGTCATCTCTTTGGCTTTGTTAATTCACAGAATAAACAGTGGAATGTAACTTTTTCTCAGCTATTACATATTTTTCTATATTATTCCTCTGGGGAAGGGGAGTGGCATTTTATCTGAACAATATTAGATAAAGAAAAAAAGAGTAAAAATCCTATGTTGTGGATAGGAAGGAAATATTTTAACAAATTTATTTTGGAAAGCTGTATATTTATTGCGCACAAAAAAGTGCGCTGTTTCTCCATTTATTTCTCCATGTTCTTCAAAATTTCATCCCAAAATATTACTAACCGTGTGATCCTAACATATTACTTCGCTGTTTCAACAACAAAACATTCCTTTTTATTATTGTTAATACTATACTAAGTCACTTAATAGCCCTCCTGGCCCTGAATTTCAGGGATGGGGTCAATTACTTTAAAATGTAATTAATTAAATTACAATTACTTTGACTTTTTCTTCAATTAAATTACAATTAATTTACAGGCTTTCTAAGACATGTAATTAATTAAATTACAATTACTTTGCAAAAGTAATTAATTAAATTACAAATTACATTTTGAATTTTTGATTTATTTAAATCCTTGTCATTGAATATACAGAAATGTATTCATTTGTATATAAGCCCACCCTCTGCACAAACAAGAAATAATATGATATAGACATTGTGTATCTTCGTGGTTTGAATTATAACATTTATTCACAAAACATTTAAAGAAGTGTAATGTATCCAAGATCAGTTTCATGTAGTTCCCCCCAGACGCATTCTACATGTACACAAATTGCATGGCATATAATATTTGATTAAAAGGGGGTGTTTTAATAGAGTAAAGTGAGTCGCAACTCTTACCCCTCAAATTACCGGTACACATTTCTGAACCTGGACATCCTAAATTACTATTCATGTTGAACATTTTTACTTCATAGATAATACATGTACAGAATATAACTTTTTCAGATACAAATTTCATTCATGAAATTCTTTTTAGATGTTAAAATAATTATCAAATTGAAAGTTTTTTTTTCTAAAGTTAGAGGAGCATTTCAAATTGAAATAATAATCTCCATTTATTGGCTTTGTTTTCTACATCATGGAATGAATATACCTCCTTAGAGGAGTTGACTTGTTTTGATTGCAATAAATAGCTGTAATTTGGAGGGCATTTATTTCTTCCCAACAACAGGGAACTTAATTATGACACACACATGCTGCACACACATTCTTTTTTTATTATTATTATTGATCAAACAAGAAAAATTGAAATATAATAAATGTGTGTTTTATAATGAATAGACCTAAGAAGGGTGGTACAAAATTTAAAAAGACCTATAACAAAAAAATAAATTCCACATAATGATTAGAAAGAAACTAGATTATTATTATTATTAAACCAATCATTTATTTGCTTGTAACCATTAACTTAAGATTTTTTAATTAAAAGATTGAGGATATATTTTACAATTAAATAAAAGACAGGAAAGGGGGGGGTGGTGGTAGTGGTGACAATATATCATGAATGTGTACTGTATAAAGTAATTGAATGTAATTGAAAAAGTAATTGAAATTACATGGTATTTTTTCAGTGTAATTAATTAAATTACAATTACATGTAATTGAAAAAATATTCAATTACAAATTACTTCCAATTACAGTTAATTCTCGATAAACCGCCACCTTTTGTAATTTAGAAATCATGGCGGTATAACGAATTTGGCGATGAATTGAATTTTCCATCTTTTAGGAGAAAAGACGTAGAGTTATCGTTCTTAGAAATACCATTTAGCGTTTCTATTCTTATTATCACATGTACATGTATATATAAACATATTTCTAAATTTGAAAATGCTTCAAGTTATTCTTTTATGTACAATTTCGCTAAAACAAAGTATTCAGTTATGAAATTAAGACAAGTATATGTGTATGTATGTAAACCTGCACGTCTGATATTGAAAAAAAAATGCTGGGTCGATCGTCATGATATATTGCCTAAAGTACGTAAAATAAGTTCTTGAATAAATTCATTGCTTATGAAATCATTGTTCAAGAAACGTTCACAATTTCTGACTTATAATTATTTTTTAAACAAACCTTGCATTGTTTTTAAAAGCAGAGATCATCAAAATAATATCGATATCGGCGTACTTTACAACGACCGCTTTCGTGGCGAAGCCTTGACTAAATGATTTTATTAAAAAGAAAACAAAATTATTCTAACAGTTCATGTTAAAATCATTGTTTACTTAATTGCATGTACCTTGAATGGCTTTGCATGCTTTACAACAGGGATAGCGTCAACCAATTAGACGCGCTTCACTGACCACATACACCAGTGGCGGTATTATCGAGATAATTGACACTTAAAAATGGACGTTTGTTGTGAAAACAGGGTGGCGGATGGCGGTATGCGAATTTGGCGTTATAAAGAGAATTTTATATAGCAGGAAAAACGTTCTTGGGAAATCATGGCGGTATTGCGAAAATGGCGATGAATCGAATGGCGATAATTCGAGAATTGACTGTACTTTAAAAAATGTAATTAATTACAGTCAATTACAATTACTTTTTTCAATTACCCCATCCCTGCCCTGAAAGTGGGATAATCATTTGTTTGCCAGATAAAAAAAAAAATTATTGTTTGCAATATAATTCGGTCTAACGTTAACGCGCTTCGTGGAGATGTCAACTACGAGAGCACTTGATAAAAAGGTAAGAAATTTCTTTAAATTCACCTATTTTGCAGTTGAGGTAAGAGTTTGAAAGAATTTATCTAGAACCAAGCACAAATTTTTGTGCGCAATAAATATACAGTTTTTTTTTCAATGGTTGGCACTGTAGCTCTCCGGTCTGTCAATATATTTTTCCGGAGAGCTACAGTTTTGCAGCTAAGAAAAAGAATGCAAGTTAAATTCTTTAATTATAAACATGAAATTATACTTCTTAAAAAGAATAGATAAGACATGCAAAAAAATACTAATTAATGCTTCTTTGTATTCTTTAATCTTCCTATGTCCGTAGTTTTTTATGGGCATTTATACAGTGTAACTTTCTCAAGGTTCCGGCTTTACTCTTAATATATTCGATCGCTTAACAGTGCTTAATCACACTTACATGTATTATTTTAAAGAAATTACAGCAAGTTTATAGAATGATTTATTAACCAAATATTGAAGTTTTCGCCATCAATCCATATCAGTATGAGTAAATGCGATTACTTATTATGAATGTTTTAAATTTGATGTTGTTTTTCTGTGAAATCTTGGATCCACGCGTCGGCCGCAGAGGATATTTACACACGCGCTGACCTAGTTAGAAAATTCCATCGAGTTCTCACCATCATTTACGTTTATAGCCAAGAAGACTTTACATGAGCTAGAATATACAGTGCGTGCAACATGTATATTTGAAGAACCACCACCAGCCAGGCGATTTTGTGTGTCTGACTCTCTATATGATGCGCAGATTGTTTTTTTTTTTCTTCTCAATAATAAGGCAGATCGATCATTGTTTACATCTCGATCTATATTTAGAAAATCATCATCAAACTGACCAGTCGGTAATCCTCGGGTGGCCTCGCACTTTTTGTGTGGAGCGTATAGTGGAGTCAGCCGAGGATTGCCGATGGATAAATGGCAGCTTACTGTGACTTCACATCCGGAAATCAAACTTAATGTGTCATCTCTCGTGAGAGAT